AAACACTGAATAGCTAGATATATCCATTGAGCTGACCCGTATGCTATAATCAACTTCATCAGTAGAGAAATGAAATAGTTTAAATAAACTTGAATCGCATAGCAAATCGAAGGCAAACAAGTTGTCTTTGATGTGTGCTATTAGTGATTCGTAATTATAAATTCTAGCATTTAGCATCTCAGTGATTGTGATTTGGTTCGTTGAATCTGATGTTATCTTCTGTATTGATCACGAAATCGCTGGTATCGATGTTGTATCCCTTGGCCACCATTTCGAAAACCTCTGGATTGTGAACAGTGCCCTCCTTCATGAAGTAGATAATTTCGTCCTAAACGATGATAGCATGATCTACGTAGTTGTCTAACTATACTTGCACTTCGTACTTAAGTTGACCTTGCTTTGTCAAGAAATTCTCCTCTTCAACTGGATCAGCGAAATCTTCATAATCCTCAGTCAAGAGATTGAATTCGCAAATGTGAGCCCAAGAGTAAAATCTGTCACCCATTGGGTTTTGAGTATATAGTCTAACATATTTACCTCCTCTTAGTAAGAATATTTTGTGGATCTTTCTCTCTAAGTGTTTCCAGTAGAGAACATGTGGAAGCCAAGCAATACAGTTGAAGAAGTAGAATATGCAAGTAGTGAATTACCAGCTCCAGAATAATGGATTGATAAAGAATACATACCATGATAGAGGAATCATAGCATCATACATAACATAGGGATACTTCAAGTACACAGTGGAATTTTTAATGTTATCGCAGGAGTAGAGAAGTAGCTCACCATCTCTGTTGAATTCAAGAGTAGTTGATGGCTTGTAGACCTTATCAGTTCTCTCAAGATACTTAGTGGTTCTCTGGGCCAATTCAGCTTGAGCAGTATAAACGATTTCGTGGAGATTTTTCACTTGACGGAATCCTCTTTGCTGAACCTGCATGAATGGTTGTCTGCTAATTTGTTATTATCTCAGAACTTATGCAGAGTACATTGCTTGATATGCGAGGGGATTAACCAATGCTGATCTCTTTATCAAGTGTTATTTTGATAATGAAAGCAAGGAGTTGTTCATTATTATTTTAAAATAATATTTATATAATTTATAAAGAAATCGTATTAAATAATTGATTGAGTTAGAAGCTTAGAAAGAAACTAACTAAAAACTTCCCACCCAAAAATATTTATTAAATATTACTCAAAGAAGCATGAACTCTGGATTTTCGATGTATTTCTTAAACTCTTGTCCCCATTGAGCTGCAATAGCACCATCTACGATTCTATGATCTGAACTTAGAGTCACATTCATAAGGCTTGCAATCTTGTATGGACTATCTGAGTCTTTTGCATGTTCATCTACGACAACAGTCTTTTAAGCTGCGCTGACAGCAAGAATACAAGCTTGAGGTGGGTTTACAATAGCTGAGAAGTTATGAACTCCAAACATTCCTAAGTTAGAGATGGTGAAGGTACCTCCTGAAATTTCATCTGGCTTAAGTTTGTTTTCTCTTGCTCTAGCTGCAAGGTCTTTAATTTCAGAAGCGATTTCTTCAAGTCCCTTGAGGTTAGTGTTAGTAACAACTGGTACCATTAGACCGTGGTCAGTTTGAACGGCTACACTCATGTTGACGTTTCTATATAATCTAATGAAGTCACTTCTCCATTCAGAGTTAGTCTCTGGAACCTTGACTGAAGCAAGTGAGGCAGCCTTGATAACCATATCATTAACTGAAATCTTTGACTTTGCAGAGGTGTTCAATTTTCCTCTTAACTTAAGTAAATTGTCAACATTTACATTGACAGTGACATAATAGTGAGGGATATTTTGCTTAGAGTAACTGAGTCTTTCTGCAATAATTTTTCTTATGTTAGAGTTTTGAACATCTTCATATTCACCGAAGGCATCGAGAATAATTTAAGGAGCTGCTGCTCTTTTTTGCACTGGTTGCTTTTGAACTCCACTCTTTAAAGCTTCTTCAACATCAGCCTTGATTATTCTGTCATTTGGACCAGAACCCTTTACTTAAGATAAATCTAAGCTTTGTTCCTCAGCCAACTTCTTGGCAAGAGGTGAAACGAAAATTCTATCGCCACTTCTTTATTGTTATGGAGCTGCTTACTATTATTAAGTTTAAGCTGGGGAAGATGTTTATTGCTATGGTGCAGCCTACTTTTATTCTTATTTAGGTGCAGCTGGAGCAGCATCTCCCTTGAAGTCCTTGAATTTGGCAACATCGTCCTTATTTTCCACAATAATAGCAACGACTTGTCCAAGTTTGACATCTTTCTCACCCTCTGGGAAGAGAAGTTTAGCAATATAACCTTCTTCCTGCATTTCAAAGTCAACTGTAGCCTTGTCTGTTTCAATTGAAGCGAGAATATCACCAGGCTTAATTTGATCACCTTCTTTCTTCATCCATTTAGCAATGTTACCCTAGAATAGTTAAAATAATTTTAAAATGTTTATACCTTCTCCATAGTTGGGGATAAGTTTGGCATCTCTAACTTAATATGATTAGGTAGATCACCGGAAGCAAAATGCCTTGCTTAAACACTCATTAGACATTATCTTTAAAATGTCTTGTTCAAACTCATCATATTCATTTGCTAGAAGCTAACAAGTTGGAGCTTGTTCTGAGTTATTGCTGCAGAAATGAACTTGTTGAATCTGGTAAAAGATCCCTAATTGGCGAGTGACTTGGAGATCAAGTGTCTTGAGGACTTTGAAGAGAGATGATACATCTTTATCTTAATAATTATATTATCGATAATGATTAATTAGTAATGATTCTATTATTATGTAATATTTTATTCATTAATTTCAGCAATAATAAAATGGGAAGAATATCATGGTTTTTAGCTGGCACAGCTGTAGGATCAATATAAATACTTAACTATGTCTACGAAAATGAACTACTTAAACAGTAAATTATGAAGGACATCAAGACTGTTTAAAGAATAGCTAACTTTGTAAGTACTTGAATTATTATACTAATTTTTTCCTACCATATTGTAATATCTGAAATTGTCATTAGGATTAAGATCAATTGCTTGAATTTAGAAAGAGGGAATCTTTGGTTACTAGAGACACAAAAGAACTCTAAATTGGAAAATAAAACATTAAGTACTTCTACCACTATCTGCAATTCAGTCTAATTAATGCAGTTAACGAAAACGCTCTTAATTATCTCTATCCTGAACGATAATAATTGAGTGATCAAGATAAACTAGATATTGAAGCGTACTTGATACTTAAATAGGCTTAAAAGAAAGCACAAGATAGCAAATGATCAGAATTAGTATTCAGGAAAATTTAAACTATCGTTGATCATTAATTGCTAAGTTTAGAGTCTGAATTGTAAAGTTTAATTTTCAAATTTGTGTTTGTAAATTTTATTGTAATTTCAATCTTTTTTATCCATCACACTTTAATTGCAAGGCGGGGTTTTGGGGTTTTGGGGTTTTGGGG